CGCCCGGCATGCCATTCCCATGCACCCGGACGGCGGGGGCTGGAAACGCGGCGGCGAGCTTCGTTTCGAGGACCTCCGAGTACGGCGTGTATGAGCTCCCGAAGCCAGAGTATCCCGCCGTCAGGGAGTCGCCGAAACAGAAGATGCGAAGGGGGCGCTTGGGTGGCATGGCTGATCTTCTTGCTTCAAGCTGAAGTTGCCCCTGTCGGTGCTCCGCAATATGCTGTATCTGGCTTACCGGCGCTGGGGGGTCGAGTGGGGGAGGGAGGCCTCGACCCTGGGGCAGGGGGGGGGGGGGAAGGGGGGAGGGGGGGAAAAGGGACGTGAACCCTTTGTAGGCTGGTTGAACAAAGAATATTCTGGTTCGAATATTGAGGGAGTCGGTAACAAAGAAGGGGGACGGATAGCTTTGAGCGAGCTATGCAGGGAGATAGGTCACTTGGGGGTGAAGGTGTAGAGGTGAGGTCACAGGTCCGGTGCCTGGAGCCGGACGCTCGGGTGGGGAACCTGGGGGTGCCTAAGCCATGTGGGGCCGTGTCAGGGTGGGGGCGACATCCCGTTGCGTGATGCGTGGTGCGTGACGCTTGCATCTGATTCCATGTGACCATAGCTCGAGGTCTTCCCTCCCTACAGTATGACCGTTATTCGTGGGCCTATTAAGGTTATCATGTTCAATCTGACTGCCGGCATGCACAGCGGAGATCAAAGTTGTGACATGTTCGGACACTCAAGGTCTCTTCCTAAAACCAAGATACCATCACGTGTATCACCACCCAAGTCAACCGCACTTTTTGTCATCAGACTGTTCTCAGTCGTAATATTACGCTAAGTGCTATCAAGATTCAAAGACAGCAGACATCTAAGATGCCGGGTATCAGATTGCCCATTTCTGAGCCAGGAGACATATTCCATCCAGATCCACGCTCCCATGCCCTATGCCCGTGCCGAATCCAAGTAAGCTATTAATAGTCAGTAATCACCGTCTTTCTCCTTTCTCTTTCGCCGGAGCAGCCTCAAGCTAGCTCAACATTCGTCCATCGCCCCCTCTCCGTATGCCACCACTTCTCCTTCTCCCGGCGGTCCACGTTGCCGCTCGTGCTCATGTTCCACCGCCCGAAACAGCCCTCACGCTCGCTGATGTCTTCACCGCATTCGCCCATCACATCGTCGATATCCACGAGACCACCCTTTTCGTCCCGCGCACCGGCATCAGGCATCGAGTCGTAGCGAATCTGGCTGCCGATCGTACCCATGAAGCCTGCCATCTCATAGTCCTCGACCGTAGAACCCTCCTCGTCGGTAACCTGCACCGCAAACCGCGGTGCACTGCGCGCCGCCTCGAGTCGTCCCTGTGCCGCCAAGCGGGACTCGCGCAGATCGCTCGCTTCGCGAAGGAAGCTGCCTCCCGATGGACTGAATGGCGTCAACGGTGTTTGAGGCGTCATCGGTGTCATCGGCGACTGACTCCGCCCTCCAATGCTCGCACCGCTGCTGATGCTGCTACTGCTACTAGAGCTAGTCAGCGAAGCGAGTGTGTTGCTTCGGCCCATGGGGAACGTGTTCTGCCTTTCGGCACTCTGCGCCGGCGTGCGGAAGCGATCGCTTGCAATCTCGGCGCGTTCGACTGGCCGGCAGAGCGACTGGAATATCCCCTCGGGATCAGTGGGAGCCCGCAAGGCGACGAGAGACGGGAATCCGTCCGCGGCGATACTGCGCGCGAGGATTGCGTCGGCAGCGCTTGCGGCAGCCGAGTGGCTGGTAATGTCCCAATGCAGCCTGCGAAGTGACGAACAGGCGAGGTATGGCATGAGCCAGATCATTGTGTCTTCGGGAAGCGTCGGCGCAAATGTCTGGACCAGAGAAAAGACCTCTAGATAACGCATGTTGGAGAAGATTCGGACCAATGCCGGCAGAGAGTCAAGGTTAACGTGACGAAGAGTCAATCTCGTCATACCCTGCGCGGCCTGCGACGTCGCAAAGGCAGAAAGGCCTGCACTCGTGATGCCCGAGGTATGGGCAAGGGAAAGGGTCTTCAGAGGCGGCAGCACTGAGAGCGTCTGGTCGTTGAAGGCGGCATGTGACAGCCTGGAGAGATACAAGTGCTCCAGAGCGGGGAGCTGACCCAGGATCTTGACAATCAGACCACCAGGCGCAAGAGTTGCTCCTGGGAGGCAGTGTATGGACAGAGTCTTCAGGTTGCTCCAGTTGGCATGGCAGTCGAAAAACGCCGCACACTCGGTAGGCTCCAGCATGCCATTGGGTCCTATCCTGCGCTCCATTTTCAAGCCAGCTGACTTGCCAGAACTAGAGCCAGGGCGCGATCCTGGGCGCTGTGGTGCCTGGAGCACGGGTGCGTCGATGATCCAGTCCATCTGCTTCAGGTTCACTCGCGTGGAAAGAGCATGGAAGAGGCGACTAAAGGTGTGGTCGTAGCGAGGGTGGAGGCCGACGAGACGTTCAAAATTGGGGCACTCCATAACGATGGTGGCGATGAGGTTGTGATATTCTTCCTTGGTGGAGCTGATAGGTTGGCTGGGCACCTTCAATGTGCGGACAGTGGCAGCAAGCTCGGGATTAGCCCTCAATGTACGGCGCAGAAGGACCAGCCTGGCGCCGTGGGCAATTTTGTGTCGCTTCTTCATGGCAGGCGAGTCTGTTCCATTCAACTGTATGTCGTCATACCTGGCACCGTTAGCTGACGGTCATCATGTGAACCTGCGCGAGACGCTTACAATGCTATCCTCGCTGCTTGAAGACATTTGCGCGAAGCCATTGATAACGATGACAAGTCTCTCATCCAGCACGTCGCGCAGCTTTCGCTCCCCTTGCCTAGGTGAGACTCCTTCAGCTGGCCCAGGACCATGCCGAAGACCTCCTCAGGCAGCGCGGCGAATAGCTCGCCGGGCTGTCTCTTGTGCGTCCTGAAAATGGTCCGAACGGGATTCTGCTGATGTCGGAACTCCGGCCGCCATGCTGTGTAAGGTGTTGCATCCTTTGCTGGGACACTGGTCTGTTCGGGACCGTGGCATACTCCTCGACCCTGTGTCGTCGCTGTTGGGGT